ACTTGAAAATTGCATAATTTGAATAATTTGTCATTTTATTCCACAAACACAAACTGAAACTTGCATAAAAATTACTAGAAAGTCCATAAAAGTTCAGTCCGCTGTTTGATTTTTTTTTGGCAGTTCAAGAACTTCGAAGAAACGCATCATGCTGATGGTGACAAAATCACAATCTGCTTCCCTTCGTGATCTGCTTGATTAAAGGCATCTCATCGCTTTGGTGGAACCTCTGAACTTTCCTTTTCCATAATATTGTGAGCCATTAGCTTCTTCTGTTCTTCTGTCACTCTGGAGTTGAAGAATGCCAGGCCAACCATTTCTTCACTCAAGTACCAAAGATGTCGACCGAAAGCTCTTAAAGCTGCTTTCTTGACAACCGAATTGACTTTGACAGCTTCTTAAGGATTATCAAATCATTTGCAGGAACTTCAAAACTTTATGCAGCTTGAGCAACCTCTAAAACATCCTTTTTCTTCCAAATTTCTTCCTAAATCATCTTTTGGATGCAAAAACCTAATGCAGGGTTCTAATCGAGGTTATCTGAAACTTTATTTTTTACCATGGTTTTTGATGGACCACCCTACTCCATGTTTCAAACCTTGATCTAGCCTCAAATTACATGTTTGACCGTGTTGGGCCTTGAGGCCTTTGGAGCTTTTTCTTTCTGTTACTCCTATTCCCTAGTTCCCTAAAACTCTTGAGTGGATTGAGTGGTTTTCCTCATTTGTATAAAGCTCATTGCTCAGGTAGGGTAGTCATAGTGTAGATCTATTTTTCTAGTCTTTTCAAAGGCAAGTCAACTTTTCTTTGGCTAAATAATCAATAAGCTCTGACAAGCTTGTTCCATTTTCTCACATTTGTTTAATCACTATCTTTTGCTCCTCCCATTCCTATTCTCTTTATTTTCCTTGTACATTGGTAGGCTTTAAATATGCCAGTGTCCACCTTGGGCAGGCGTTGACATATTAATAACACAATAAATAAACTTGTTTGCTTAGTGAAGAAAACGTGATCCAAAGCATTTGAAGTGCCTTACACCTTATCAGAAGTCAAGCAAGGACATTTAATTTATTGCTGGGCACCAAAAGAATGAGAATTACTTGCAGCCGAATAAAACATCATGTGTTTGAAATCATAATTGCACTTTTCATTTGTTTTTGATGCTTCAGAAGTTGTCACAGTTGTCACATATAGACTTTGTGTGAGTAACCATAGAGTTGAGAGAGATTTCAAAACATGTATAATATTGCAGTTGTTATGGAGACATAACATTTTAGAGTGTTGAGCATGTAGTCTATAATAAAATATATTTTACAATTTAAAAAATACAATTAACTTGATCTATGAAATGAGTCATCTAGTAAAAAAGCAGTGTATTTGCAATCTTGTAGTTAATTTGTTGGTGGTTTATTTGATTGTATTGTATTGTGTTCAGATTATTTTTTGCTCTGAACTGGTGCTTTCATATCCGGTGATTCTTGGAAAAATTGGCTCCGGTTTTTATTTATTATTGAGAGGAGTCTTTGGTGATCAAATTTTTTTTTTAAAAATCTGTTGTGGGAACATGGAGACTTTAAAAGTCCTGCTTAATAACTCTTCAGTAATGTGATTGAGCAGAGAATGTCATAACATCTGGATCGATACTGTTTTTTGTACCTTGTTTGTCTTCTACCTACCCTTTCCACCTTAAAATCTTTCATACAGATCTGTCCAAATCTGTTCAAACTATTTAGGGTACTGCTTATTCTATTGGTGCTAAATCATCCAAAGTGGCACAATCGGGGTGAACACTTTCTCTACAAAACATTCCTCCTAACAGATGTGCAGCTCCCTTTCATAATCATATTTTTCAAATAGCTTTTACAAAAACATTTTTGATAAAGTATAAAATTTTACAGGAAACGATGGATCCCTATCTGACTCCTTTGCTGCACATGGTCAAAAGTAAATTTTTTTTGTTCTGTGTTTCCCTCAGGTGACCAAGGAAGATTTCCAGACCTTTGAGTATATTCTCTGTATGGACGAGAGCAATTTAAGGTATTTTTTTAGTCAAGTCAGTGGCAGTATTATTATTATTATTTTATTTTTAGAAATCACAGTTTAATGAAGTTGTCATGTGTTTTCATTTTTTATATAGTAGTTTTTATACTATTTGTTTGCCTCAGGGTCAAATTAGGCTACGCGTCAAAGTGAACCACTACCATTAGCACTCAGACCAAAGCCATGGTAACATCGAGCTGAAAGTAACGTATAGGAGAAGGCCTCTGTTTAATGAGCAATATCCTTTCTTAAGCTCTTTCCAAGGTCAGGGGGGAGGGATATTTTTTGCTACTTTGAACGTTTAGGGATCATTTTGAGATCACATGCTCACGGCAGATCTTGATCTGTAAGCAGCTTACTGAGTTCCTTAGATGCCTTGTCTTTGCTCTTTGGGCAGTTTTTCTCTTACACATTTTTCTCCCCACAAAGATGACCAGAATCAGAATGAGGAATCAAATCTTGTTTGAGACAAAAGACAACATTTTCTGTTTTATTTCCTTTTGCAAAAAATAAACTATTTGAAATATTGTTTGTAAATATTTATGACCTGGTTTGAATTTGCAGTGGTGAGGATGTTGTAGTTACATTGGCAAATGTTTGAGTGGAATGTCAGACCATGTGTTTAATAAGATGACATCTTCTGTATTTTGTAGTGATTTGAAAAGGAAGGCCAACTCTGTGAAAAATGCCACAGCCAGGATTGAGCTTCTAGGTTCATATGACCCTCAAAAGCAGCTGATCATCAAAGACCCATATTATGTAAGTTCAGTTTTTTGTATTTTTGTGCTTTTTTTGTTTTTTGCTTACTTTCTGTATGAATTGAAGACTATTGTAGATGCGTTTTTAACTACTTAAACCGCTTATGTCATGTAAAATGGGCTTTTAACCATGTCATAGCACTGTTCCCTCTTTTCGTATTCAATTGTATTTCAATTGATTCATGCATATGTGAGTAATCCTGTATTGTAGGGCTGTGGGCCCTTAATTGTTTAGTCAGTTAATCGGTCAATGGTGTCTTGGTCAACCAAAATTTGTATTAGTTGACTAATAATTTTATTTGCATTATATAGAATTTATGTGAAACAACAGCAGAAAGCTGCTGAAACATGCTACACAGGTCTCCAGGAAGAACAGTTCATAGCTAAGGTCAATTAAATAGAATCAATCAGTTACCCTGCCGAGGGACTACAGGTGGAAATTAGCACTGGTGCTACAACCTAGTACAATGCATCTCTCCTGTTAAGGTTCATGTATATTGTGCACTGTCCCTGTCTTATTAAATGAAAAAATAAATAAAGGACAAGTGAGTGAATGAGTGAATGAATGAAGATTAGCTTAGATTTTGGTTTTATATGTAAAAAGGCAAATTAAACTTATGATTCACACATTCATCTTTATACAAATACTTTGTTTCCTGGTACTTTTTTTTTGCATAAATAGTTATTTTTACATGAACTCCCATGCAGGTGTGGTCTTGTGAGTGCAGTTTGTCAAATGTGACTTTGAGGGTGGTTTGTCACACTAGAAATAACGTGTTATTTTAAAACAGCATGAATGAACACTGACATGTCATCATTTTGAGGAATTCAGTCTTGGAAGTCTGGCTAACACTGCGCCTGGGGGAAGAGTTTTTGGGTGCCTTTTTGTGGTGTTGTGTTGCATTACTTTGTGGGTTGAGGATAGTGGTAGAAAACAGGCACCATGTTATTAGTTATGTGGCTTTAGGAAGCTGTGGTGGACCACAGGTTATGTGACTGTAGTCAGTCATATTAATTTGTCTCAGAGTTTGGCATAGAACAATGTGTTTCTGTGTATGACATTCAGCCGGAATGACTGCCCTCAGTTTGCCTGAAGAAGAGGTGAACGAATGCTCTTTACAGTCAGGGCAGTCTGCTTATCATGAATAGGACACTTGGCTGCAGACACAGTTGCTGTCAACATGTCTAGAAATGTCTAATCAGAAACTCTGAGCCCTGTGGTGAAGTAGTCTCTGTGTCAATAAAATATCAAAGCAGCGTGACTAAAGCTACAGCCTTCAAAACTGTGATCAGATCCGGCTAAAACCAGGGACTGGAGGAACGCTGAAAACTCTTATTAGCTGTGTTTCCTCTTTAACACACTGCCACTGGCCTTCCTACTTTTATTAAACTGTTTGCTAGAAACATTGAAATATCTGCTTTTTGCATGCTATTCTTTTATTTATTTATTTATTTTTTATTTAGTTTTTCTAACAAAAACTTTTAAAGTCATTACAAACTAATAATTCTGCTGACCATTTTTATGGTCAGTTTGCTCCTGATTATTGTTTGTACAGAGCAGAGGTTGGCTAAATCTTTTTTTTTTTTAAACAATTATGGTGTGCAGAGATAAATTAAATGTTTTTGCCCACCTATGAGAGATCCTAGAAACTGTACTCTAGTTATATAATATTTATTATATAGATCTGAATCATTTGTTTGTTGTTTTTTGGAAAACTTTAAAACTTTTTTTCTCCTTTTTAGGGAAGTGACAAAGACTTTGAAACGGTGTACGAACAGTGTGTGCGGTGCTGCAAAGCTTTCCTGGAGGCTAACTCTTGATCTGAACAACTTCTCAAGTGTTATTGTCAACAAATCTGTAATGTAAAAAAAATAGATATCACTGTTTGCACATCAAATGCTTTGGTTTGGTCTGATCTGTAAAGTAGCAGTAGTTGGAATACAATTAAATAGTCTTTGAAGATATTGCTTGAGCTTCACGCTTTCTTCTTTCTTACACTTGGGGATTTCCAACAAACTACTACATCTACTATCATTTGTAAGTTATTGTATACTTTATGAATTTAAAAGTTAAACTAAATCATTCAGTTGTACCTACGTGGGAAACATAACATCCAACACTGTTATTTGTAACAACCTTATAATTTATTTTAAATATAATTTTTCTTTTTAAGACACATTTGATAAATGCCAGTCATTTAACTTACAATATGTAAATATTCTCTCTTTGTTTAAACGGTCATGTCTATATTATGTACAGTGTGGACCATAAATATAGACTTTACCAATACAACCAAGATCCACAGGTAAATGACGTACCACTGTCTTCTTTCTCTTAAGACATCCAAGTTTGTGTTAATAAATTAAGAATTAGTCCTCAATAGTACTTTTGCGGCACGCACAACTTCATTCATCTTTAGTAGTGCATTCGATGGGCACATTCAAACTGCGCACATGGTCAGTCAACCCATACCATGCTGATGGTCTTTTTGTCAGAGAAATTGGCAAAATAAAAAATATGCAATCCCTTTTTGTTTTAGGAACATCTTTTTGAATGGCAGCAGTAACAGCAGCAGAAAAAACTTATCACAACCACTCCTGCCTCTGTCTTCCTCTTGGTGCTTGCTCCATGTCTTGTTTTGGTGATGTTGCCTGGATGTGCCCATGTGATCACATCTGACCAATGAAGTGCTCAGAGAGTAGACAGTAATCCATGTCCATGAAGGACTCTTCAGAGGGCCAATGTGGAGCCTAAAATCAGTCAGGAATAGACAGTCCATATTTTAGGCTGCCCCCTTCCTGCAGTCAAAGGCACTTCTTTACCAAAGGTTTTCTTTCTTCTGACCGATTCAAATGATTGCACCTCCTAACCTATGACAGAGAAGTGCCACAATATTAAACCAAGCTGCGGTTTTGGGCTTGGTAGCTCCTGTCCAGGAAAGAATGCTGACTTAGAACTCTAATAAATACATTAGGCCAAGATGTATGAGCCTGTTTTAAACCGTGTGAAAATGTGTTTAGGCAGAAGGCATATGATTCAAGATGACAAAAGGCAGTACACTAGTATTGTCTTTTGTAGCATACAACTCTGCAATAACACTGGAAGGAGCTGTGCCACAGTTTAACTTTTGAAATCTGTCTTAAAGCACTAATGACCAAAGTACATACTAATTACCTTGTGCTTGTTATCCCTCCATGCACTGTGGGCTGCCTGCTAACCGTGTGAGAAGTCGTGCACATCTTTTAAAATCTGGAAATGGTAAAAAGTTACTGCCGTTAACAAATGCCAAAGGTTGCTGAAAGACAATCTCTTGTTTGTGGCTTACATGCTGGAATTGTGCAGTCTCTTGTTTGGTGGTAAAGTCTGTAAGCATGCTTTCTGCACTTTTGACTGAAATAGAGCGGACCTAAAAAAGAGACAAACAAGATTTCAACCATTCCCTATCTGCTTAGGCTTCACAACAGTTTTCACAGATGTAAAAATAGCCCTTACCCGCTATGTGCTGGAGGAATTTCCCCTTCTGTTTGGGATTTCGGAGGGACACTACAAATGAGAAAATAAAATATTGTAGAGCTATATGAACTTCAGTGTTTGTACTTTTATTTTTTTTTAAGTCAAGAGACACTCCTGTCAGGGGAATAGGTAGCACAATAACTTCAGCCCTTTCTATAATAACTCTCGGTTAATAACACATAGGAGTGTATAGGCTGTAATCGTTTTACCAGTTGGAATGTACTGTATTGGCAATGCATTTAGCTTCTTTTCTCTCTTATTAACAATTAGACCTACTTACTGTGTGTGTCAAAGATTGTGGTGTCTTGAATAAATCCTATCCTTCAAATTCACATTTTACTAGTGTCCGCACATGAGCATCCGGCACCGCTGTACACTCACCTGCCACCTGCTCTCCTCTGCCTGTCCGGGAGCTTCGTAAATCCCTCGTCTCCAGAACTGAAACTCTACTTCGCGATGAGAACGCCGTTTCTCTCCTGGTACTTGCCCTTCCCCGGCTCTCATCCACGTGCCTAACAGCTTCCACCAGCCGCCTATAGTCCTCTCTCTCCTTCTCCTCCTGCTGCGCGCGCCCCGCTGGCGAGGCTCCTGAGGGCGCGCTCACGCTGCGGCCCGTTAGTGCGCACACGAGGAGCACCAGTCCCATGGCAAAGTGCGTGCGCGGTCCTCTCATAGCTCCCATCCACCACGGTACACTTAAGTGAGCAACTATTACGAGTTTGCGTTAAGTGAACAGAATATCCAATTACCTGGAAAAAATAAAAATAAAAATGAAGCAACACTGAAACAAGTACAATACAGTTTGTCAAAATTAGGATTATTGTTCCAAAAATACGATATAGAGGAAACACAGGATTTCAGAGACGGATTTATTGACAGGCTTTTCAATCAAGATGTAACGAATGGGAATGCAACTTCATCTGGTGTACATGAATGGCTCTGGCTCCTGCTTGACTCCAGGTCGTCTTCTGTTTTACTCAGAAGAACTCTGTGTGTAGGCCTGATGTGAAGAGAATTTCACCAGATTTCTTCAGCCGTAATTAGGTACAACATCACATGATGTGTCATTCAATCAAACCACACTCTTAACTGTAAAAGCCAACTATGTAGAATTACCTTTGAAAGTCCAGATGGTAAAAAAACATCTGCCAGAAAGTCCGGTAACCAAGGGAAGAGCGGGGTCTCCAGTGTGTAACACAAGCTTAGTTACAACTTATTGTAGCAGTAGTATCCTCTGAATGATGGCTGCGCGTAAAACGCTTCTCATGTGCCTCCTCCAGCCCGCTGCGCGTCCAGTGCCCCCTGCAAGTGCCGCTCACTTTTTATGACACCGCTGCGATGATGACCTGTCCCAGGAGGCTTACGCAGCTCCCCCAATAATAATATGACACATTATTTGCAGATCTGTTCCAGCTCCGCGCGGCTGAGTCCACTTTAGTTGACTATCACTTGACCGCTGCTGATCTTTCTCTTCTGGAGCCCCCTCCTTTCCTTTACTCCATTTGTTGGTGCGATTACAGGAAACGTTTCTCCTGCTAATACTTCCAGAGAATTTTCCTCTCAGTTACAATGTAGACACCAGCATCTTTGGTCCTATAGAAGATTCCCATATCTCTTGCAATTTCATTGTAAATCTACTATTCACACTTATTCGGTCCATTTGTCGGGTGATTTAACGAAAATAGCCTAATTTAAGCGCAACTCTCTCAAAGTCCATGTGGTAAGTTCTGGTCAGCCGCTCCACAGAAAACAGAAGTTCACAGAGGGATTGGTGTGATTTGTGCGATTGGTATAGCTCCCAGTAAGGGCGTGTAATTGGCCCCTTCCTCACTCCCCCACCCCCCAAACGGGACTTGAGACTAGTGGACAACTTTGGAACAAAATGAATTCGGTGTTGACGCTCAAGATTTTGATGCCGTAATTTCAGACAACATGACTGGAGAGTCCCCATAAAAACACTACACACACACAAATGTTTAACCTTAGTATTTGTTATGAATTCGTTCCAGTAATTACTGAGAAATTAACCATTAATTAAATAAACAAATGTACAATTGGCAATTAAACAAAGCAAATTCCCCCACAGAATATTGATCTGTCCTCCCGCATAGTTTTAAAATACAGGCAAAGCTTTGAATGTTGTGATGTCACCTGTACGCAACCAGATATTGTCTCAAAATTTCAGATAGGTTACATATCAAAAAAAGTCCCCTCGGCCGCACTGGGGCCAAACGCAGACTTGGTTTCTTTGCTATAGAGACCAAATCAGAGTGGGTCATTTAAATAAGGGCACCTGTTCTGCTATCAGGTCAATTTGTGAGGTTAATCCTGTTTTTAAGACCATCATTTGTTAAAACGAGCAGATTGGATTAGGTCTGTATTTCTGTTCTTTTTAAGAGCACTGTACCATAGTTAAAAAAAAAAAAAATACATCTTAGGTCATGAGCCAGCAGCATTTGGACTACAATTGTTTCAGTAGGGGGCATCATGCAGTCACAATGAAATGGCTCAATAACATGTCATCTCTTAACTCCTAAAGAAAGGCACCAGTGTCTATAAGGGGCTAGAAGTAAACATTCAAAATAGAAGTATTGTTGCGTTAACACGATTTTACTTTTTTCAAACTAGTTACACTATATTAGATCTCATCTGCAGAAGATAGTAGAGATAAAAGCTCTGTGAGGAGGGCACAATGAAATATGCACAAAAAGGTGATATAGGCTACCAACAAAGTCATTTAGTCATTAGGACAAATTTACAGTAGAGTCAAATGGAGCACGCTGGAGACTCAAATGGGTGTATCCTGTGACCCTTTATATTGTGCTCATTTGTAAATGAAAATGCTGCACAAAAGACTCGCCACGCAATATAGTCTTCATCCTATGACCTTATATATTTTTAAAAACTTGTTCCAAACAAAGTAGTTATGATCTATTAATACCAAATTTAGCTTTTTTATGTAGATTGCACCTTATTGTTATTGCATCTATATTCATGAAGTTTATGAGTCTGCACCCTTAAAGCACATGTGAAAGTATGATGTTTAGTAAGAGTTAAGCCAGTGACTCATGTTCATATGACCAAAAGCCCATATGGTTAGACATCCTGAACGGCTAAGCACATTCACATCTTCCGTACCATCAATGGTTGTCAGAGGGGATGCTTGTATATGTGTGTTGATCATCCCAGTCCGAGCCAAAATTCCACTTTCTAAAGGTGTTATTTGAGGGCATCGGGTGAGCTTCGCCTGAGGCAGGTCTTTACAGCATAAACACAGTCATCAACAATCAACAATTCTGAAAATATGTTCATCTGACTGAATCAAACGGACAGGCACTCAGAGGAAAATGACTCTTGAGTGTAATGATTATAGGGCTGATAAAGATTTGGCTGTGGACATAACCTATTCAAATTGTGCAAATAGGAAACGTGTCCATTCTTGGACTCAGTCTTTATCTCCATACACACAATATTTTTTGACCCACAGGAAGGAATCTTGTTCTTGTAACACAATTCTTTTTTTTTTAGTCATTTTCCATAAACACACCAGAAGGGTCAGAGAGACAGCCAATAATTATGCCACGTCTTTATTATTTTTATATCTAACCCTCGAAATTTGGAATCCATGGGTTCTGCTTAAAGGCAAAGGCTACGGTTCAAATGTGTTATCACTGTAAATATAATCCTCAGAGACATTTTTCTACACATCATACATTTTCAGTGTTCATAAAAAAAAGTTCTGTGCCTATAGTCCAATGAGGCATGTCGGCTGAAAGTACACTAAAGCAGTTCCAAGTGTAATCCAGTACATTGTTATAGAGATTTAGTAGGTAGTCTGTACAGTGCGAGCCAAAATCAAATGTGTTTCTAATACTGTCAATGGGCGTAAAGCCCACCAAGAAACAACAAAACTTCAGTGTTCATCCTGGCTTTTATGCTAGAAGTATAATTGTTTATTTTAGTGGAAGAGCCAAAGTGCATACATTTACTCACCACTTTCAGTGTAGTGGGTTTGTGACTCAAAAACTATGAATGTACCAAACTACAGCATTCTCCTGTTCATGGGTGGGCACCAATACTAAGTGAGACTAAGTGAGACTCAGCCAGGATCATTGCAGATGTCGGAGCTGTCCATTACTTCTGGTTTTGATTTTACTCCCTTTTTTGAAACAGTCCTCCTGTACACTGATACGGTATTTAATTAATTTCATATCCATGCATAAATCCTTTGTTCTACTGATACTTTGCAGTGAGTTTATGATGAGGATGTATTACATGTATCTGTAGAATGTTAATGCATCAGTTTTATATGACGCTTTTCTGGACACTCAAAAATGCTTTACAGAGCATTATTCATTTACTTCACACTCGGTGGTGGTAAGTTACTACTGTAGCCACAGCTGCCCTGGGGCAGACTGACGAAAGTGAGGCTACCAATCTGCACCATGGCCTTGCTTAACTTCTAAGATGTGATGGGATCAGGCTTTGTCAAGCTGGTATGGCAACAATGTTCAGCAGTTGCCATGGTGACAGTGCCAAAAAAGTTTTTAAAATCTCTGAAAACTCAAGAAAAAATACAAAATGGATTTAAACAGCACATTTTCAGGATCAGTAAGAGTGTACATGGTCCTGTTTAGGTGTTTGATTTTCATCAAAAAGATGAGAGTGCTTAAGTGAAAAACTGTTAGCTAATGCTAGCTATCTTGTGAATGTAATTTTATGTGTGAGAGACTTGTCGAACTGTACAAAGCAGCTCACCCGATGTAGTTCCAACTCAGCTCAGATTAAGTTCAAGCTTCAGATAGAGCAGTGCTTACAGTTAGCATCACACCCCCAGAGAATGTTGATGACATCAGCTGTGTGACTAATAATATTATGTTTTGTTATCACATCATACGTCAGTATTAGTTGGTGTGGGGCTGCACCCTGGTGGTGGGTGGTCCATGGTTGGCACAGCTCATCTTGCCCCAGGCCTGAGCTATACTGCGCTACGTGGGAACCACGAGATCACGTCACTGCATGCACATGAATGTCACTGGTCATTAGGACTCCTCTTGTGAAAATGCCTTTGCTATAAATCTGCATAAATCGCTGCTACATGTCTTATATTTGTACCCAGTGGAGGGAAGAACTTTGTGGTCTATTCCAGCGTCATCACATAACTCTTCTCTAGATAGGATCTGTATCTGCATGCTTGAAATCATTGTTCTTCAGTGGGACGCTGCAGGACAATATAAAAACAGAACCAAAACTAACTCTGTTCTTGATTGAAGTTTATTTAGCTGCTTGTTGTTCAAAATCTTAAAACTGATTGTGTGGTATGAGGTGCAGCATTTTTTTGCCAACTGAAGATAATCTCAAAAATTAAATACATCCCTGTAGATTAGACAATATATAAAAGAATCTGATGGTACATGTTTATTACAGTATTGTGGTGTAGAAATGCAAACTGATAAGGCACCCATGATTCGTATTTCAAAAGGAGGCTGCACTATTCAAAAAATAGTGGTCAATGTTTTTGCCAAAACAATGTATTTTATGGAGCTATAGTTAATTTTTTTGTAAAATTTCAGAATTATATCGTGATACTTTTGACATCGCATATTATCACAATATTAAATTCTTGTCTATCACCGTTTTTTTGTTGAAAGTGACTAATGGGGAGTCTAATAAATAAACAAAACAATACAAGAGTTGTATTTCTGTCCAGCTTATTGCTAAATGTTCCTTATTGGAAAAAAACTTGCAAACATTGAATTTCTCTCAGGATCAATAAAGTATCTCTCTCTATTGCATAAGTCAAATTATTAAAATTTTATGATTGGCTTGTAAAGGTCTATCCTTCCTTGCAGCTTTAAAAAAATCATTGGCAAATCCCCTTAGCTCAAGCTTGTGACAGTCATGATTTTGGCTTCCTGCTTTTCCCATAGTTGGTAAAAACTTCTTGTCTTCATCAATAATAATCCCATTTAACTGGGGTTTTAAGGCAAGATTACAACGTGCCTTTATGGCATAAGAAATAATAAGTATACAAGCTAATTAGACCTCACTGCATCCTGTATATGATATTATTTTATTCATACAATTAAAATCCATATTAAACATATTTAGATGGGAAACTAAGGCTAAATTTGCTGCATGCATATCAGGAGATCAAGTAATTGGACAATAAAAACAAAAGTTTAAGTTTCATAAATGTTCATAAGTCAAAACACATTTGACTGCTTAATCAATGAAAGTAGTGTTTTCTAAAAATACAGATGGGTTAATTTAGCTTTGGATCAGAGTGTACTGCAAATAAGGAGGTTATTATTATTCTAAGCAGAAAACAACTGTAAGCATATGATTTCAGTGATTTTAAGCTGAGAACAATCAAGGATCCACAAAAAAAACCTGTCTTTCATTATTTCAGTATGAAAGGAGATCGTCTTAATGTGCCTTAAGCAAAGTTCACCCTGAACAATGAACTGTTGGCCTACAGTGACATCCAGGACCAGATCTTTGAAACCAGCACCCACACATTCTTTCACTGTCTAATTTACTTTTTTTTTTCTTTGACCAATACCAAAAAACAATATTTGTGTTGGTGCCGTTGCAGATACCAATATTACTGTAAAATTTT